ATAGAACTAAAGCTTATTATTGGATATGAGTATTAGATAAACACTAGGTTCCAAACTCAAAACTCATTGATAACTATAGGACTATAGGAGTAACTCATGTACTAAGTTTTGAAATGGAATTTCAAGCTTATCTAGTATTCCAATAATCGATTTTGTTTTCAATAAATTCTTACATTTTTTTAATTTTTAGATATGTCAGATGTCCATTAAACACAAAATCAAAAGTTTATTTCATAAGGAGATTAAGAATCCATCCGACACAGTGAGTATGGTTAAAAGTTCATAGAGATTTTTTTACACAATTTGATTTAACCCACAATCATTTAACCTTCTTACAGTGGGGGAGAGAGAGGGTTCTGTTTGTTTAGGGTTAGGGTTTATGTGGACAGTTTTAGAGAGGGTGATGAATTTGTTTGTCTTTTTTTTTTGTATTTTTTTGGTTTGTTGTTTATTGGGGTTGAAAGGTCAGCTCAAATGTCTGCATCTCATTACCCTCTTTTGATGCCACTACTTCCCTTCTTCTCGTCTTGTCAAATCACTTCCAATCCTTGGATATTCACATGCGCATCTCTGCCTCATTAGGCTTGGCCATGCCTTTGGATTTTGGAAAACTCTTCACCCAACATTCCCTTTTTTTTTTTTTTCCTCTTCAATTTTCTGAACTTTTTGGAAAATTTATAGTTTCAATTGGGTTTGAGTAGAGCTTAAGATCTTCCTTTTCAATTTCCCTAAAGATCTTGCAAGAACAACATAGATTTTAAAAACAAAAAAGAAAGTTTGTCACTAAATGGTACCTAAATTACTCGATGACCGAACTTCAACTTTGAATTGGGTCTTAGTAGAACTAGATTGATCTTTAGGCTACTTGATAGCATGTGTTTAATTTCTCCACCAACTACTCTTTTATAGAAGCTAGTGGAGGTCTAAGCCTCTTCCCAATTATCATACACAAAATAATGTGATGTAAAGCTGAAGAAAATGAGTGCAGATTGTAATGGCATCATGATGATGCTAAGTTTAAGCTTATTAGTGGAGAGTCAAAGGGGAGAATAAGAAAGTGGATGTGTTATTGCTTAGATTCTACTTTGAGTGGTGCCAACCTCGCCATCTTATTTACAAAACAATTTTGTTACTCGTGTGGTAAATATTTTATACTCGTTCTTGCTATTTTTTTTCATTTCGATTCATACATGAGCTTGTATGGTTGTCACGAGACGAATGAGATTTCAAGACTATGAACAATGTTCAATTATGAAATCCCATTTTAAGATTTTATTTACTCAGCATTGATTTTTCCTATTTTGTTCTTTAATAGCGATAATCTCAAAATAACAGGAGTCAAGGTTGGTCAGTGAGACGATGGAAGATAAGCTTCAACGTCGAGAGGGAAACAGCCCGAATCACCAGCTAAAGCCTCTAAATGACCGCTTAGTGATAAAGGAGGTAGGGGTGCAAAGACAACTAGGAGGTTTGCCTAGAAGTAGCCACCCTTGAAAGAGTGCGTAATAGCTCACTGATTAAGCGCTCTTGCGTTGAAGATGAATGGGGCAAAGCGATCTACCGAAGCTGTGGGATGTAAAAATGCATCGGTATGAGCATTCGATCATTATAGTCAATATCAGAATTCCATCAATGATTTGTTTCATCCGATAGCATTCTTCATATCAACACGATCCGATCAAACATGTTCGTAGTAAAAAAATTTAAAATCTTTTACATTATATTTAATTGGATTGAAAAAAAAAAAAGAGTTGCAAAGGGGAAGGAATGCATGGGGTGTGTGTGTGTAGGTCAAAGGTGGCATGATTTGGGGAAAGTCAAGATTGAGTGTATAAATCTTTTGTGTGGGAGAGAGATGGAGCTCTAACTTTAGGGCAATCACTTCCAATCCAAAGGTCAAAATCGGTCAACCTTCCATTTCTCCTAAAAAAGCTTCTATTTTTTTTTTTTCAAAGTTGGAATAATCTAAGGTTTTGTGGTTGTATTTAATTTAAGATGATTTTGAATCCAATTTTTATATATTTTTGAAAATTTTGTTATCGTCTTTATTTTTTTGTCCAGGTGGTAAATAACCTTTATTCAATAATAAATTCAACCTAATCCAACGGTAAAATATTGAATTCGGATTGTTTGAAGTATTTATTAAATTTTATGTTCTTAATAAAATTCATGAAAAAAAAATCTATTTATTTTCCAACCTAATTTCAATATATATTTTGAAAAATTATGTTCTAGACATAAAATTTAATTTTCAAAAATTGTTGAAAGATAGATAATAAAAAATAATTATAAATTTTATTTAAACTATAATAAACTTTTAAAGTTAACGGTAAACTCAAAATTCATGACTCATAAAATTTTAATTAATTTGAATCCAATATAAATTCAAATTTAAACTAAAATTTTAATTGATTTGTATAGATTTAGCACAAAAACAAATGTTTATTGAAATTGATGTATTTTGAGGTTGACGCAATGGAAGAAAAGGATTTGAATTGACTCCAACAATTTTATTGCACCATTATTAGGAATGGAAATTTTGATTAGGTTGACTCTATTTTCCTCCACAAAATTTATTTCTTATAATAATAATAAAAAAATTAATGTATTTTCTTTGATTGGATTCTCATTCATTTCCCATTTATAGAATTGTCTTTTCCATTTCCATTAACATTACATCCAATTAATTACTAACCCACCCTAATTTTGGCATCACAAATAGAGACACCAACGTGAAACAATCCTACGTGATAATGGAGAGGGAGAGAACGGGAAATACTTTCACACTCTTATAAAGAATATTTCGTTCCTTACTCTAATCGATGTGTGATCTCATAATCTATCCTTCTTCGAGATCAGTGCTCTCGCTGACACTCGTTTATCTTCCCAATCAATGTGGGATCTCACAATTCACCTCCTTTCGAAGCCCAACATCCTTGCTGGTACTTGCTCCTCTCTCCAATCACGTAGGATCTCGCAATCTATTCTTTTTAAGATCAATATCTTCATTAGCACTCGTTTCTCTCTGAGATCTCACGATCTACTCCTTTCAAAATTAGCATTCTTACTAGCACTCGTTTTCCTCTTAAATCGATGTAGAATCTGAAAGAATGATAATGGAGGAGAGAGAGAATGAATCGAAGTCAAAAGTCAAAAGTCAAAGAAGATTTGATGATTGTAAGCAATGGACAGACAAGATATAGTTGGAAGAAGGTAACCTAATAAATATCAAAATCTGTCTTGTCTTTGTGTTTGTTTTTTTTTTCTTTTTTTCTCTCTATTTATGTAATTTTCAAAGAGAAAATAAATAATTGCTTATACACATATAAATATGCCACTGAGATTGATTGATAGCTACAACCATTCAACCCTTTCACACCTCCATTGGCTCTATCTCCTCAAATGCATCATTTCTTTTTTTGTTCGTTACTTTAAAACGCTATTTTCACGTGTCACGTAATTTTATATACCATTCAAAAAGAAACGAGTTGCATAATTGAACATAAAAATGCTCAACTCGCACGGCTTCGGTTTCTTTTAAATGTTATGGGCTCTTGTCACCACGTGGTACATACTTCGTCTAGGTGTGCAGTCCCTATCAATCCCAACTTTGATACATGTCGAGTCAATTCTAATAAACCAGGCAACCACACTTAAGTTTCCCGATCTATCCCAACACAATATCTCATGAAAATCATACAAAACAGATAAGGAACAGCTCAATTCTTGAATTAACTATCATATGTAGGCCCGTCATGATATAACACTATACTTTGTTAATATCATTAATATGAGGAGAGCCAACCGTAATAAACTCTTCACAGACGACCTGATAACATGAAGGGGTAATCTAGTTCATCTTTCCTTGAAGTTTCGGTGTGAAGGCTCTAACTACGTCGAAATATTTTATCCACTAAACTACGTCGAGGGACTAAAGAAAAAGATGAATGAAATTGTGGGGTGTGGGAGTAAATATGAGAAAATTGAGGGGGTTTAGAGAAAAGTAGTGTAGAAATAAAAGGCACTAAAAGAGGTGAAGAGAGAGAAAGGGAATAAAATGTGAAAAGACAAGTCAAATGTGAAGTCCATGGTCTTAGACATCATAAGACAGACAGTGGTCTGTGCTGTCAATCCAATGGATTTTATTTCCTCTCTTTACATTACTTATATTTGTCTTCATACAAAACTTTATTATAAAATTAAGATATAGTTTGAGGTTAAAATATTCCATCAAACCCCTACTCAATATTTTGAAATTCCTATAGTTTTGTTTCATAAAATACGTGAATTATATGCGTTTACAGATAGTCCATTTAACTTGTAGAGTCGAATTCTGACTGAAGTGTAAAATTTCTTCCTATTAACTAAATTGGGATGAAGACAGAGATTATATTCTTATCTCCATCTTCGTGCTTGCCCAATCCCTACCCTGTAGGTTTCTCTGTCTCGATCTCATCCCTCGCACGGGAGGTCTACATACATACATATATATATATATATACACACATATATATACATACACATACACATACACACACACATGTACACATACATATATACACATACAGATATATCTACATGCATGCATACACGTACACATACATATATACAAATACACATATATGCACATATATATATATATACACATACATATTTATACCTACATAAATACATACATATATATATATGTACACATACGCATGCATACATACACTCGTACGCATACATATATATAAATACACATATATACATATATACACATACGTATACACATACATGCATATACATACATAAATACATAATATATATATATATACATACACATACACATATATCTACATACATACATGCATACACACATATATAGACACACACGTACACATACATATATATATATATACATACATACATATTCATACATATATATATATATATATATATAATTAATTAATGGTTTTAAAAAAAAAAAAAAAAAAACCTTTATAATACCTCAGCCGCCCAAAAGAGGCTACATTTCGCAATTCTCCACCGTTGTTAGAAAAAAAATATCTGATAGCAACAAAGCGCCACCACACCTCCTCCATGAGCGCCGCCAGGGGGGTTTTAAATTGATCATAATCCAGGAGCGCCGCCATGAGCCTGGAAGACTCCCTAAGATCCCTTTCTCTAGATTACCTTAATCTCCTCATCAACGGCCAGGCCTTCAGCGATGTCACCTTCAGCGTGGAGGGCCGTCTCGTCCACGCCCACCGCTGCATCTTAGCCGCTAGGAGCTTGTTTTTCAGGAAGTTCTTTTGTGGCCCGGAGCCGCATGGACTCGATCTCCTGAGCCCCGTTGGGTCGCCGCCGCTGCCGTCTCCGCCGTCCAGGGCGGCTACTTCCCAAGTAATTCCCGTGAACTCGGTGGGGTACGAGGTGTTTTTGTTGGTGTTGCAATTTTTGTACAGTGGACAGGTTTCGATCGTGCCGCAGAAGCAAGAGCCGAGGCCTAATTGCGGCGATAGAGGGTGCTGGCACACGCATTGCTCCTCCGCCGTTCATCTTGCTCTTGACACTCTCTCCGCCGCTAGAGCCTTCGGCGTTGAACAGCTCGCTTTGCTCACTCAGGTTTTTTTTTTTTTTTTTTTTCCTTTGGATTTTATGATAAAGTTTTTGACTTTCGAGCTCAAATCCTATTATCTCATGTGGGTTTTGAGTTTTTTCGATTAAGATTGACGAATTAGTCGACTTTTTTGGGTTTTTTTTGTAGTAATTTGGTTGAACACTTTCTAAATTTGGGTTTTTTCTTCATTAAATCCATAAATTACTTGATTTCCTTTTTGGGTTTTGAGTTTTTTCGATTAAAATTGATGAATTAATGGACTTTTTTGGGTTTTGTTTAGTAATTTGTTTGAACACGTTCTAAATTTGGGTTTTTTCTTCATTAAATCGACAAATTATTTGATTTCCCTTTTGGGTTTTGAGTTTTTTCGATTAAAATTGATGAATTAGTGAACTTTTTTGGGTTTTTTTTTTGTAGTAATTTGGTTAAACACTTCATAAATTTGGGTTTTTTCTTCATTAAATCGACAAATTATTTGATTTCCCTTTTGGGTTTTGAGTTTTTTCGATTAAAATGATGAATTATTGGACTTTTTTGGGTTTTTTTTTAGTAATTTGGATGAACACTTTCTAAATTTGGGTTTTTTCTTCATTAGATCGAGAAATTATTTGATTTTGTTTTTGGGTTTTTGGCAGAAGCAATTGGGAAGCATGGTGGGTAAGGCCTCCATTGAAGATGTAATGAAGGTTTTATTAGCTTCAAGAAAGCAAGAAATGCATCAACTTTGGTCCACTTGTTCTAACCTTGTGTCTCAATCCGGCCTCCCGCCGGAGGTGCTTGCCAAACATTTACCGATTGATGTGGTGGCTAAAATAGAAGAATTACGGCTGAAATCCTCCATGGCCCGCCGTTCTCTAATCCCCCACCACCACCACCACCATCACCACCATGATTTATCGGTTGCCGCCGACGTCGAAGATCAAAAGATTCGTCGTATGAGAAGGGCCTTAGACTCCTCCGACGTTGAGCTTGTTAAGCTCATGGTCATGGGTGAAGGGTTGAATCTTGATGAAGCTTTGGCCTTACATTATGCTGTGGAGAATTGCAGCCGGGAAGTTGTCAAGGCTTTGCTTGAGCTTGGCGCTGCCGACGTTAACTACCCCGCTGGTCCGACAGGCAAAACCTCGCTCCATATGGCGGCGGAAATGGTGTCGCCCGACATGGTTGCTGTCTTACTCGATCATCATGCCGACCCGAATGTCCAAACGGTCGATGGTGTCACACCGTTGGATATCCTAAGAACCCTAACTTCGGACTTCCTTTTCAAAGGCGCTGTCCCTGGACTAACCCACATCGAACCGAACAAGCTTAGGCTCTGCCTCGAGCTCGTTCAGTCCGCTGCATTGGTTCTATCTCGAGAAGAAGGAAATGTCAATGCCAATGCCAATGTTAATATCAATGATGTTTCATCGTCTCCAATATATCCACCGATTAGCGACGATCACAGTAGTAGCAGCAACAGCAATAACATCAGCAATCTGAATCTCGATTCTAGATTGGTTTATCTGAATCTCGGGGCATCAGTATCGGTTCGAGAAGATGATCACAGGCATGGATCACAAGGAGGCTGTGTCCCAACAATGTATCATCATTCCCACGACTTTTAATGTAAGCAAAATCAAAATCTTTTTATATAAAATTCACATATATCATCTATCTATATCTATATTGAACTCACAAGAACAAATTTGTAAGCTCATACACGAATTCACGACGAGCTCAAGTCCTTTCAACCAAATTCTACGAGTAATAACTCGTTAAATAGGCTCAAACAGGTTTCGGATTGATCGAACGACGTTCGAGTAAGAACTAAGACTGATTCTCTTTTGTTTAATTAGTTCAGTTTTGTAGGGCTTTTGAGTTGAGTCGTGAAGGTATGAATCAGACAAATAAGCATACTCAGATTTGCTTCAAAATTTGTTCTTTTGTGATTGGGAGACAGGTCAATCTTTTCAAACCCTTTTGGTTCTTTTTCACAATTCTTCATATTAATCAAATATATCTCTTTACCTTATCAAAATCATAATATTTTTTTTTTGGATTCTAATTATAAGAAATATGCCATTTGTAGTTGATTTTAGTTTGTCCAGACAATTATGAGCTAAAATAGCGATAGATATGTATATATATGATATCAGATATCAACTCGATGTTGTATATATATGATATTAGATATCAACTCGACAACGTCGATTGATTGATATCTTTTTGGGAGAATAATTTGATTTTTTGATAGACAAATTGACTAATATATTTATATGGTTGAAAAATAAAAAAAGAATAATATAATTATAATTCTAATTTTGTGTCCATTTTTTCATTCTCTCTTTCCTTGTTACATTTGATTTCTATGTTTAATTTTTTTTTTTTAAAATTGATGAGCTTAATTTAATTAGTTAAGATATATATTATCGAGTTTGAATACTCGCTCCCTATGTTGTTGAACTCATAAAATAAAAGTAGGGTAAGAGAATTGACCTACTAAATTACATGTTGATAGATATTTGATGTGTATTTTTTTTTTTTTTCGGTTTAACAAAATATTTGAGGGCGTGAATTTCAAACTACATTTTGTTGAAAATAATGGAATGTGTATACATTATTTTAAATATAAAGGATGAGTTTATAATCAAATGCGGAAATGGTATGTTTGATATCTATCGACGATAAATGTCTACCATTGATTATTACAATCTTACTTGCTTCTATACTTTGAATATACCATATTATTTGACTCTGCATCTTATGTTCGTGGTTGTTTGAATATTCATCGGTAACAAAAAATTATATCATTATTGTACTATTTTTTTATGTCGATCAATGATAATGTATATCGTTCATCGCTCAAAATCTAATCAAATAACAGTTCTTTTAAAGGGAAAAGAGCGCTTAAGAACCCTCTGTTGGAATAATTTTAGGTTTAATTAGGCATATGGATTTGGGAGATTAATTATTCTGTCTTTGCTTTCACAAAGCACAAAAGTTTGGTCTAAAATGGAAGTTGGGACATTGGCTTTTTCAGTGTTTGGGAACATATAAAGATACTGAACCAACACAAATTAGCAGCTGATAGACAAGCATATGCTAATGTTCGGTAGAACTTTGAATTAATTGGTTTGATTAGTACCAAACCAATTCAAATCAAATCATATTTAAAAGATCAATTAAGTTGAGTAACGTACCATGAGCCCTGTAGGAAGAAGTAACCCTTTTAGTGTTTGACGTTGCACGTCTTAGTCCCTTACTCGAACTTAAATCGACACAATTTGGAGGCCTTGTATAATCACTAGTCTCTAGATCCTACCATATTAGATCATCAATAGATATGAGAGTCCGACATCGTAAAATGATTAATACGAGATTCACAAAATAAGAAACCAGAGATTACCGTTTTCCATTGACAACCCCTAAACCCATTTGGTTGCTTGCGGAACACAAGAATTTAGAGCTTATTTGGAACGACTTTTCAAATGTTTCAAAACACTTTTTTTGTTTTCACTTATAATATTTTTTTAAGAAATTAGAAAGTCATTCCAAACACACACGTACGCGAGTAAATAAATAAATAAATAACAATAAAGCAGTTCTTAGAAGATGGGTAGATTAATCTCAATGTTTTAGACATAATTCTAAAATATGGTAACATGGAAAGGGCAGTTATGTCACTGGGACTTTCTTTTGACAATCCATTTGAGAGTGCAATCTTGTTTACTTGGGAGAGAAACTCAGGAATCAGCCAAAACTCCCATTCATTCAGCCTCCTCTTGGACAGTCTTCTTAGTGAAAGATTGCATATTGACACTCAAATCCTGTCAATCAAATGCCAATCATGTTTTTAATATGGCAAAAACTATATACTACAAAGCAAGAAGATAGAATCTTTAAATTCTACTTGGTTCTCAAACATTCTTTCATGGTTGTTTTATTTTGATTACAGAACATGGATGGGAGGAGGGGAAGTTGTTCGGATAAGTGGTTTTTTCTATGCATATAAGTTATAAATGGTGGGAGTTCTTTTAAACTGTGGTTTCATCTGAGCACAAGTTTGAGAGAGAACCTGTTGAAGAGAGAACATTTGTACAACAGCCAAGAACTTAGATAATTGCCCAAAACTTCTTTCTACAGATCAGCACAGATTCTGGGTTCTTTTCTTTAGTTTGCAGCGTATGCATTTCGACGTCCCATAGATATTTGGGAGCGATTTCTTGTATTCTTGACGTTATTGAAGGCTCGTCTCTAATGATGATGTATCCCTGTACATGGACATTATTCAAAGGCAATTTGAAGCCTAAATCAGTAACAGTAGCAGATTAATGCCAATAGCAAGAGATCTTCATTACAAAAAACTTTGACAACAGCATTGCCATGCCCATGAAATCTTATAAGCAAAGACGGGTTTTGTTTCTTCATGTGGGTACAAGCTTGCAAAATTACAGGAACCAAATTAATTACCTGAGGTCGTACAATGCGGTCCATTTCCAGCATTATATCCTCCAGCAAGCAACCCTCTTCACCACTTTTATACTGAGAAAAAAGATGGTATGCATGCAACAAATCGTATGTGCGCGGATAAGTTGAAAATGGTTCACACCTACATTACATGAGATACTTGAAGACTGAGCTTTCACTAAGACAAAGGAAAGAAACAAATGGGCAGTACATAATATATATATATATATATATATTTTTAAATCTATCCAAAAGAGACACTGATAATAGTACAAAGATCCTTAGACAGGAACACCAGAAGAAAGCATGAAAGCTGATCATGGCTCATACCTCTCCCAAGACAGCCCCAAAAACTTCTTCGATTTTTTTCCGAAATAGTAAAAAAAGTTGTATGCCAAAAAGTATGATCCTGCTAATATTTGGAAGACGTTGGAGAAGAAATAACTTACCAATCATGAAAGGCGCCAATCAGACCTCGGTCGTATATAGCAGACAGCGTATTTTGCATCTTTATAGGAACTACATTCATAACCCAGACTGGAAAATTGTTCAAAGCCACTGCAAATCCACCATAGAGAGCATTCATGTCCATGACATTTCGAATATCTGCGTTGCTGACATTCATCAATTTCCAGTACTGATTAACTTGAGCTTTCCAAAACAAGGTATCCAAATCAAATTCCTCTTGACTGACACCTGTAAGTGAAGACAACGATTGCATCATATACCACGGCAATTAAATTTCTAGGTAAGAGCAAATATTCCCAAATTAGAATAATTAAGACACTTCTTGGGAACGTGAACTAACAAAGGTTCACCTCGCACCATTTGCTAGCCCAATGATGTTACCTGTTACGGTTAATAAACAAAGTTCCTATTTACTTAAATAAGTTGCCATTCCAAACAGTTCTTTAAAGTGACAATAACTCCAAAAAGTTACCAAAGTTATTGTTCAAAAGAAAGGGTATTCAGAAAATACAAAGATAACCCAGGAAAGTTATTGAATGTTTTTCTAAGTTGATTGATTCCTGCTTTTGAATGAGAGCTTGGTGAACAGAAGAGCCAAAAACAACTAGGAGGATTTCTTTAGAAAGAAAAGAGTTACCTATTTTTCTGAGACTCCTCGAATATACTGAAAGGCGCTCTGGTCTCGGAGGTAACTTCAGAGAATATGACTGATCAGTTACATGAATACAGTTTCTTAAAGGTATTTTCCATGATGGTGTAGAATCATCCTCAGCATCACATATTTGCACAACTTTACGATCTGCGTTGATGATAAGGCATGATGGATTTTCCTGTTTGATCCAGATAGCAGTCTGAACCTTTCTGGCAATGAGCTTCCAACACATTGCTGTTGTCAGATTTACCAGCTTCTCCCATATCATTGGGAAATCTTTATCTTTTCTATAGGCAGGGGGAGCTGAATAGACAAAATATCCATTTGGCCGCAGAAGCCGATCAATTTCTTTGAGTAAAATACCATCTGCAGAGAAGAAGGACAAAGTGTAATTTCAATGAATTCCAGGTATACATCAAAGCAGTCAACCTGACAAGATTCAAGATGAAGGCATATAAGAGCCTTCATAAAAGAATTCAGTGTGTCACGTTTATTACCCAGAATAGAATCTGAACTTACACAGGGCTAGCAAGGTAAATAAGTAGCAACATTCATAAAGTTAGCAACAATAAATGTAGACATGGATAATGGCATGTGGTTTTCATCATCTTACTACTGCTCTTGAGGTTTCTTAAAATTAGTAGTCATTTTGCTGATATTTAAAAGATGAGACCTTAAAGTTTTTTTTTTTCTTTTTTAACAAGTAACAACTACAAGAAGAGGACCGTAGTAAGTGACTATAACAAAAATTGAATAACAACTGTTTTTGCGCATAAAAAGTACTGAAATACCATTTTCATGCCAATCAACACGGCACCTTGAGCAATGGACCATCTCAAAGGAACTTGAGGGATACGGCATTTGCTTTGTTGCCAATGCAGAAATCATTGCACCGATACCTCTCTCTAGCGCAAATTGAATCTGATTCTCATGCCCATCCTTAGGAGCAAAGGACATTGTCTGAATGTCCAATGGAAGAAGATAAGCTGAGAAACTAGCTACGCCACAGCCAACATCTAGAACCTGATATACTCCAGCAGAGCTTAGTGTGCCCGTCTCATTTGTAGTCATGTTTCCTAATCTGCATTGCATAAAAGACGATAAATAGAACAGTCTGACAAGAAAACCTAATCGTCGTTCAGATTTATCAGAAATTACAAGGAATATTTTTTAATATCAGTTCCAAAACAGAAAATTAAATTAAAACTGCTGGACAGATTAATTTGAACCCACTGATAAAGGGTGTGAGTAGACTCACGTCCCAATAAGAAACAAAGAAAAGAGGAAAGGGGAAAGTTCAATAAGCCAACAGTGCAACCTTTGGATGTACTCAGGCGCCCCATGTTTGAAATGAGTACCACCTCCAGGAAACCACCATAGTTGATCCTTCTCATGGACCCAATTTTGTCCTCCTTTAACTTCAGCGAGGTGCGTATGATTCACATTGCTTCGCCACACATAATCCCGGCTGGTTGGCCACTTTACTGGGATCTTGTAGTCTTCTGGTGGAGGTACCAAACAAAACAAGCGGTTTTCAAGTGGAGGGCAATGCCTCTCAAGTTCTTCTCTTCTTGAAAGATCCAATGTCGGAAGCAATTCTTTTAGGTTAGAAATGTCATGGCAAGGAATATACTCAGCGTATTTTAATGGACATACATCCATACCATTCTCTGGAATTGAAAGTGGTATCTTCCTGTAAGTGATTGACACTTGGTTTGACATTGAGGAATTTCCTGCAGTATAAGTAATAAACTTTGAGTCAAGAAATTGATTGCAGCAATAAAATCAGACCTTTGAAGTTCCCTAAAAGCACAAGAGTATGTCACAAATCCAGAAGGTACACACATGTTGGTCTAAAAAGGAGAGTGTGTGAAAGAAGAAGGATATACAAAGAACAAGTCAGAGATTGTCTTATAAGTAGGTTTTACATTTCTTAGGCAGCATCGTTGACTTGAAATAAAAGAACCTAAATTCCACCAGAGGGAACGATCATTTGAAGGCCACTTTTAATGTGAAACTGCAACCATATTTCCCGTGTTTCAGAGAGACAACTAATGGAATAGCCAATTTGTTTATTTCGTAAGTGAAAAAGATGGATTATTAATATTTATAATAAATAGTATTTTCGTGAAGAATTAAGTTATTACTCAATAAAGAATTCTTATCTCTATGGATAGGGAGATAGGAAAGAAATGAATGTAGGAATAGATGGAGATAAGAAACAATACAAAAGATCTCTTTTTTTGTTGTAGTTGGATTCTTTCCATTTTTTTTTTTCGTTCCTATTCTTCTCTTTGAGAGAAGGGGACTTCCTAAATAAGGGATTATTTCATTTCTGATAGTTATATATTTAATGGGTGGATAGACACATACTCTGGATTAGAATTGTGGGGAGTACTGCATGATAATTTCTACAAACTTAAAGCCCCAATTCGTATTCTTTCTATATTATGCATTTTGCATATCTATTTATCATAAAAATTCTTGAGCAACAGCTCAATTTCATTCACCCACTAGAATAATTCAAAAGGTGGAAGTGGATGAATTTTGAGTTTCATTCCTACAGGCAGAAAAAGATAGTGGTGACAGTAGTCTTAATCCCCATGGAGATAATTTGTTTAATAAGCATCTCCCTTCCAAGTGACATTTTCCTATACCAACCGATGGTGGGCCTTCCTTAAAGAAGTAAAGCATCACTGCCAGAAACAAGGCAACACCCCAGACATGCTTGATTTTTTTTTTTTTTTTTTTTCTTAATCCCTATACTATAAAAACTAGCAAAAAAATGGTGCTAAAAGGGAGAAAAAAATAATAATAATACAACCTATCTACAAAGTCAATCCAGAACGCAGAAATCTAGCAGTGCACGGGGAACAATCAAGATCTAAACGAAGAACTAAGCATCATTTTCATAGGAAAAAAGAATTACTAAAATTGAGAAACATAGAGAGACGAAAGTACCAAGTAATGATGATGAAGTGGAATTTGAAGGAAGGTGAGAAACATAAATAGGAACATTGTTGCCGAAGAGAGTGCCTAAATAGAAAGATCCAACCATAAGTAGCAAAGCAAACATTATCATCTGCCATGATTGCAGAGCAAAAACAGAACCCAACCCATAGCCGCCGCCCATTGTTTTCTTCCCCTCGGACACGAACTCTCTCGTGTAAACTCGAGAAATTCGTCAACACCGAATTGGCATTACCATTTGAGAGAGAGAGAGATCCGAGTATAAAGAGCTACAGATGTGAAGACTAATTTGGAGCCTCAAGCTGAGATTTGCGGAAGAACACTTTCAGTTTCAGAGATGGATTCAACCTCTCTTGATTTCACAGATCTTCTTCTTCTTCTTTAATTCAGAATCCATTTTTTTTATTTTCCTTTTCTATTTCTACCGTTTTTCCCTTTTTATTATTATTATTATTATTATTTTAATGATTAATCGTTTTCAAAATATTAAATAGAAAAAAAAAACTAAATATTAAATAATTTAAAGCTTTATTTTTTAATTAAAAAAGTAAATAATATTTACTAAATACATATATATTCAAAAGGGGGAAAAAATACGGTTTTTTAATCATATATAATTGATTTTCTTTTTTTTTCTTTTAGTCAATTATTTTAATGTTGCTTTTTTATATTAGTAGCCAAATATGATACATTATTTTTAGAAAAATTACAATTATAATGTACAATACATTAAATTTATTACTAAAAAAAATACAATTTAAAATTGTAATGTATTTAAAAAACATGCAATTATGACAACATTAAATATTTAATTTTAAGATTAAATTAATAAAAATGACGTTGAATTTTAGACTATGTCTCAAAATATATAATTTTCAAAAGTATTAATAATATTTTAAAATAATCCATTAAACTAAACTCATAATTTTAAAAATGATCTTTTATCTTAATTTTAGACTAAAATTTTTAATATTTTATTTTAAAAATAAAATTTTAATATTAAATATTTAAAAAATAACAGTGAGTTATAAAAGTTTTCCTTTGAATAAACTTCGAGTTTTTTTTAATTTAAAAATCATTTAAAACTAAAAATTGGTTTCATTGTTTATTTTGTTTATTTATTATTATATATATATATATTTTTTTTTACCTTTTAATCTATATTTTCATTAATTTTTATCGAAGATGTTTACTATATTTAAAAAATATTAATATCCTTGAACTAAAAAAAATAATAATATAATACATCTTTTTTAAACCTAATAAAACTTTTTAAAATTTAAGAATATTTTTTAAAATATGTATATATATATATATATTAATTTAAAGGTATTATTAAAATTTTACAAAAATTAAAATGTATTTATTTTTATTAATTTAGCCTAATTTTAGGGTTAAATATTTTATTTTATTTTGTTGTTCAAAGCTTAGATTCTGTGGAGCGGTCAATTTCCGGACAGTTTTGGGAACCGCCAAGAGCTACAACCAGGTTTTCCAATTCGGCGCTCTAATTTATCCTTTCAATTCGACTCGTACCGTCTTTCCGCATCAGCAATCCGCCATACTCAAATCTGCCTCAAATTCCCACAAGCAGCTGGTCAAGTACAGAGAAGCTTTCAAGATCCAAGCCCTTCCGGGGATGCCGACTTCTACTGCAGCAATTGCAGATTTAGGAGATTCGTCCAAAACTACAATTGGTTCTAGTGTTGAAGATAGTTCTCTCAAGGAATCAGGTTCTGCTCAATCTCAATCTTATGCCCAAAATGAAGTGCAAGAACTTGAAAAGTTTGGCAACCAAATTTCTCCTTGTCAACCGGGAGAAGTTCGTAGTTCTGTAGTAATCTCTTCTGATCAAGAGAAACCCCCAAGTTTTGGAAATGATCAGAACATTGTTCCCCATGATGGTGTGTTTAATATTGCTGTCTCGTCTTCTAGCAAATTCGGGTCACATGTTGTCGATACCAGAGACATTGACAATGCTGTTCGGGATGCTGTGTTGAGGGAACAGGTATGCACGTTTAATATGTTTCAGTTTTTCAAATTCCTCTAAATGTTATTACCTTAGTTCTGAATACTATGACGGCGCTCTCTTCCATTGCTATCCCCATTCAGCCTGACTCTTGTTGCTTTCTGCATAGCCCTCATGTTATGTTTCATTTTTTATAGATGTTTTAGTTAATCTTCTTTTACAATTTTCTTCCACTTGTGTTCGATGGCGCTCCCCCATCATCACCTTCGTTCTGATGGGGACTAATTTTATGGTTTTTGGACATTGCAAATAACATGAATTGAATTAGAATATGTGTACCGGATTGTAGTGACCAAAATGGTAGTTTAATAATAATAAAAAAGAAGTCCAGAACTTCTGTGGGGGATGGAGGAATGAAGTGTTGCGTCTACGTCCAAAAGCAATATGGAAGCAGCTTCTTCTGCAGACAACGAATCTGTTTCATCAACGCGTTGATTTGTTGAAGTCAACATTTATTTTGTTGGGTTCGAATTTTAAAGGGTTCTTGGAAGAAGCCTTTTTAGTCTCTATTTGATATAATTTTCTTAGAAGAATCGTGAGGCTTTTATTGTTCTTTCTCATTAAGATGTTGGATCACTTAAGTTAACATTTGTATTGTTGGTTCAAATTTCAAAAGGTTTCTTGGAAGAAGCCTTTTTTTGTCCAACGTGTGCTCTAGTTTTTTATTGGCATTTATGGTTACTCCAAAATTTCTTGTATTTCAGATTACTTCGATTTTAGCTTGTTCGGTTTTCATTAATGTTTACGAGGAAGAAGATTGTAGTCGTTTCTTAGTTCTTGATTTTGTATTTTCCTTCTTTTATTCTTATCCCCTTTGGGAGTTTGTAACCTTTGAACACTTTTTGCTTTTCATTATATCAATGAGATGCTTTTGTTGTTAAAAAAAAAAAAAAAAAAAAACGGATGTAGGTTCCTGCCAACTAACTTCAATTGGTATCCAATCTCTCCCCAAAAAGCTAAATATCTTGAAAAAGCTTTTGTAGAGCAGAAATTTGTTAGGCTATGGGGACAAACAAAATGGGGCCAGATGGTTTTACCGTTGAATTCCATAAGAAGTCTTGGAACGTCCTTTAACCTGAAATAATGAGTATTCCAAGATTTTCAAGAATTGTATCATCAATGCTAGGTTGAGCGAGACCTATATTTTCCTCATTCCAAAGAAATCGGATGCTAGAAATGTGGGAGACTACCACCCAATTACCCGCATATCATGTATGTACAAGATCATTGCTAGGATTCTCTCTTAAAGGCTTAAGAAGGCAATTCCTTATACTATCACTGAACAACAATCAGCTTTTGTGTCTAGTAGACAAATACTTGATGCCTGTTTAATAGCCAATGAGCTCATTGATGATTGGAAATGGAAAAAGAAGCAAGGGCTGGTCATAAAACTGGACGTCGAAAAAGCCTTTTATAAGGTGAATTTGGGATGTTCTTGAAGAAATTTTTGTGGGTAATGGCTTTGGTCCAACGTGGAGGAAATGGATTTGGGGTTGTTATCCTCTCCTAATTTTTCAATCATCATCAACAACCGTTTGAGAGGAAAGATCCTGGCTACTGGAGGCCTCCATCAAGGTGGCCCCCTCTCCCCCTTCCTCTTTATTTTGGTTGTGGATTGCTTTAGTCGTCTTATGGTTCATGCTTCAAATAGAAAAGTCATTCGAGGTTTTTCTATGGGAAAGTTCCCTAGATATGCATGCATCACCTATAGTTAGCCGATTACATTATGTTGTTCTCATCTAAAGAACAAGTGCTTGATAATTTTTTCAACATTGTGCAGCTATTTGACGTAGCATCATGGCTTGATGTTAGGTGGAAAGAAAGTTCCTCTCATGGAAAAACGATCATATCTCAAAGGGTGGAAGACTGCAACTCTTGCCAATCTTCCGTCCAACTTATTATATGGCCATCTATAGAATGCCAACCAAAGTGAGTAACATTATGGATCAATTGCCCATAAATTTCCTCTGGAAAGTTAACAATGATGGCAAGGGTCTTCATCTTGTCAAATGGGATAATCTCCTTCACCCCTTGGAGAAAGGAGAGCTTGGTTTACACAAATTGAAAGATCGAAATGGAGCCCTTGTTGTAAAATGGATTTGGTGTTACAATGTGAGAAAACAGCTCTTTAGAGGAAGGTCATTGATACAAAATACGGGACTACCCTTCTCAACAAAAAATCGGGCAGCAACTCCTTGGAACAGCCAAGGGTCCATTGAAAGCCATTATGAAACATTTCTATCTGATTCACGACAGATTATCCTACAATGGGTGATGGGGCAAATATTCCCTTCTTGCAGGACATATGAATTGGAAATGACTCTTGCAAGAAAATTTCCCTTGATTTTTTTTTTTTTTTTCTCTTAGTAAAGATGGGGCTATCAAGGATTTCTGGAACACAGAGTTTGGCTTTTGGAACTTGAGATTGAGATGAAACCAGAGACAGAAATTGACGAATTTGGGCCTACTTCTTACACTGCCTGTCCACTGTTTCCTTATTTCACAGTTCTGATATAGGAATTTGGAACCTAGAGACAAATAGTGTCTTGTCCAACAGCTCTCTCTTGCGTGATATAGCCCCCTCCAATACAGAAACTGAATTTTCTCTTTATGATTAGATTAGGAAAGGACACTACCCAGAAAATATCATTTTTCCCATGGGAGCTATCTCACAAAGCTATTAATATACTCTTGAAAAGTTAAAGAGAAGACTGCCTGAGATGGGTTTGTCTCCACAATGGTGCTTTATACGCAAACAGAAATCAGAATCTCAAAGTCACCTCTTGGTGTCATGTAAATTTGCGAAGACCTTCGGAACTATCTCCTCTCTTCATTTAACTGGTATGCGGACACTTCGGAAAATCCCCATGTCCTCCTCGCTTACACTCTTGGTGGGCATCCCTTCAAAAAGGAGAAAAAAAGACGATTTGGGAGAATTATATAAGAGCCTTCTTCTGGAATTTGTGGCCAAAAAGAAATAGTAGATCTTGAGAAAGAGCTTTCTTTTATAGATTTTTTTTATGCTATAGTTAATACGGTTGTGAATTGGTGTAATGTTCTCCCTTATTTCACCACTATAGCTTTACCATACTCCTTTGTAACTCCTTTGTGGGGTCTCCCTGCTTTTGTAATTTTTATACCATCAATGAAATTGTTTTAGACAAAAAAAAGTTGTCAGAAGAGGTCCATCCAACCCTAACATAATTGTTTTTTTTTTCCATATTAAATATACATTTTCAATCTATTTTGAAGTACATATATATTCTTTTGAAAAATGTATCTTCAACGTGTTGTCCTAATTTTTTAGAATTGACATGTTTTTGTATTCGTGTCATGTTGTATATGTTTTCCATGTCCATGTCTAACCTTTTTAATGGGTAGATTTCGTTGAGGGAGATGAGAGTATTCAATACAAAGAGAAACCTGCACCACAAAAATGTGGGGATATTGGTTCTCTTTCAGCTTCCTCATGGTGCCTGAAGTTTCCCTTACATATGAATTGGAGAGGATTATATATTTATTTTAATTCTCCTTTAGATTTCTTTAGCTCTCCTCTTGTAATTTTATTCATATTCCGGACACTCTCTTATCTATCTAAATAAATCATTTTAGTTTTTCAAATGCTTTAATTAGTTTTTTCCCTAACAGGAACTTGCTACCCAAAATATTATTCGTAGCCGAAGGTGATGGTTCTTCATTTGTTTTTGAGTTATTACAGTTCAAAATTAATAATGGAAACTAAATATATTTTCTCTTCCCAGAGACTCCGTGGATGCAGATGGACTTCCAGAGGAGAGATCAGATATCTTTTCAGAACGTTATGACCCAAGTGCTCTTAAAGTAAGTAATTTTCTACCTTCATACAACCTTCATTCATAAATTTTCTTTAGAATGTTGGATAGCTACACCTTCAACAGAGTTAGCTGTATGTCATCACTGCCACCATGGTCCCTATTTATTTACTCTCTTGAGAAACAGTTGTCTTGTATTGAGTCTATGAATGTACAAAAGGTGGACTTGGATGGTGTAGTACAATGCGAGAACAATAGGATTCTCTTAAGTAAGACTGATTATTACTTTTTAAGCATTAATCTAACCAATAAACTTCATAAGGATTAATGCATTAGTCCTGTGGGTAAGTTCTTGGGTTCTCTTGCTCATACTGGCTTAGAGGTTCCAAGTTTGAACCTTTGAGTGAGTTCAATACCAAAAACCTTCGATGTCACATGGGTCTGGTCCTTGGGGTGGGTGCGGGTGCCTAAGCTCCAACTCCCGATTATGTATGTAAAATACTTCTCGAAGAATTGTGAGAGCCATGGATATCTTCTTTGGACTCTTTCATTCGTGTTGATAATGCATGACCTGTTATACACACAAAAGCTTATTATTCATTATCATATTTTGTAGCTTTGATGTATTTTTCCTTCATTAATGTTACTTCAGGAGCATCTTTTGAAGATTACTTCTGAACATCGTGCAGAAATGGCTATGAAAAGGGGAAAGTTGAATCTTCCCGAAGAAGGTTGGTACTTTGTAATCTTTCTATTGAACATTTCCCTTCACTTGCTCTTGTTGTCGCTCAATATTAGTTAATACAGAATGGGCCAAATTAAGCCTTAACCTTGCCCCAGTGGTATTGTCAAATGAAGCAAACTTATTGACTTGGCTCTCCAGCACTGATGGGGTCTACTCTACAAAATCCTTGATGATGGACATAGGTGAAAAAATAGAAGCAATAAATCCCACACTAGCAAAGACAATATGGAAAGGACATCCCCCTAAAAATAGAAGCAATAAATCCCACACTTTCAAGGAGAATGACATCTTGTTCTCATGCAGGGAACTTGGAAATTGGAAATGGTTATGGCGTACCTGGTGGATGTGCTTTCTATGGTGCTTCAAAGCCTGGAATTGTTACCCACGGTAAAAACCTTTTCTTTTTGCTTGACTTCGATGTTGACCTCCAAATTGGTTCATTTCATTGTTGTCATGCTTTCAGGAAATAATACGATTGACCAGAAAATCCAGGGACAGGTTAGGGAAGCAGAACAAAGTCCTTCTGCCAAAGAATTGCCCGAGTACCTCAAGCAGAAGCTAAAAGCTAGGGGTATTCTTAAAGAAGATGCAAAACATAGCAATTCTGTAAGAATTGATATGCCTTCGTATTCTTCTTCTTCTTTTTTTTTTTTTTTTCCCTCAATGAAAGCTTGGTTATTCATTAAAAGAAATGATATGCCAAACTTCCTAAAACAAGCCTTGGCAGCTGCGTCTTAGTCTTATTAGTTAGCCACAGACCAATTTGACCCGGTAAAACCGATATTTACCTTTTCTTCCTGCTGAGTAAACACTTCAATTTTCTCCTTTCTTATCTTTAAAAAGCAGATTTATAAAGAAAAGCTTATGCACCTAAATTTCGTTCAGATTCATAAATAGTATTTTGTATCATGTTTGGGATTTGAATTTGTGGCCTCCTGATAGCAATTATAGTTCAATTTTCCTTCGCATACTCTTTATTCAATTGCTTCTCTCAATCAGTTATCAGAACAGTAACCGAGCCTTAAATTAAATTACAGGCAAATTCTGACGCTATTTCAAATCAAATGTTGCAAGGAGAAAAGCTGCCTCATGGATGGGTGTGTACTGTTTGCAATTTCCTTACCAATTCTATGTTGTGTTCTCTTTCACTATCCAACTTATGTTAGTATTGCCTATTCCATCTTGTGAGTTAGGTTACTTTTCTTTGATATGGATTGTTATGTGTTTCGTGACTGAGTTCGAATTGGATGTATTTAACAAAATATTTCCAACGAGTAAGAATGTAACATGCTTGACTATTTATTCTAGAGTAATGTTAGTTTAACCATTTTTCCCTATGATGTACTTGATCAATAAATATACTAAATCTACTTTGTTATAATATATCATACATTTAAATATTACTAGCCTCTGTTTCATAGAACAATAATCATAATATTAGTGCATATGATCCCAAGGGGCGGTGTCGTCGGGTACCTGGTCTCTGATGTCACTTGTTCGAATCTTTGGGTGAGATTGATACAATTGTTTTTTTTTTTTTTAATGTGTTTGGACCCTTGGCGGGTGTGGACTGTTAAAGAAAAGTGTGTTAGATGTTTTAGTCAATGTTGCACTTTAGTTTCAGAAATAATATTATTTAATATCAACTATAATTATGTTATTTTGGATTACAGTAGATTACTTCATTGTCACACCAGTGTGGTGTTTGCTAAAACAGTTAAGTTTGTGAAGTGAATGAGTTTTGACAGAATAATTACGGAAGGTCAGTTTCCCATATGTGAGTGAGTATACCTAGCGTCTAGGGGACCTTGATATGGGGTTGAGGCGGCCATTACTGTAATAGGGACTTCCGATTTTTTTTTCTTTCTTGTAATTTGTTTGTATCATATATGGTTGTTGGTAAACCATCAACTGGATGGGAATATTGTAATTTATGCTTTTTTATAATTAAGAGTACAATACACTTTTTGGTCCCTAAAATTTGAACGTAATTTCCATTTGATCCGAGAGTTTTGAAGCTAACACTTTTAATTCTTAAGATTTGAATTTAGTTTCTATTTGGTCTTTGAGATTTCAAAAGTGACATGTTTGGTTTTCGACATCTAAATTTTCTTTCTAATTGGCGCCTGGTATTTGAAATTTGTTTAAATGCCCATGTAAAGAAAATGAAAAATAGAAGACAGTTTCAACAAAGTCCACTGCAATGACATTATTTTGTTATATCAACTCGCAGACAACTTTATTTAGGAACCTATTTTAAACCTCAGGACTAGTTAAAAATCAAATTCAAACCTCGGAGTAAACACTGTTCGAAATTTCAAATTTCAAGGAACAAATACAAACTAAATTTAAAAATCAAGAATCAAATGTGTTAGCCTTAAAATCCGTTTGACTAGCAGAAGTTTAGTATCCCAGGGACCAAAAGTATGAGTTACCAAAAAAAAAAAAAAGTGTGATTGAGAATATTGACTGGTCTAAAAGAGAGAACTCTTTTTATTTCCAAACAGTTTCAGTAAAATGTGAAGATGTGTTGGGATACATTTTTTTTGGAAGTATGTCCTTAGGCCTCCTTTTTTATAAACTTGTATGTTTCTACTGCATAGGTGGAGGCTAAAGACCCTGGCAGTGGTGTTTCATATTACTATAATGAAAGCACTGGGAAGAGTCAATGGGAAAGGCCCACTGAATCGTCTTTTGGTTTGCAACTTTCATCTGCTGTATCCCTTCCAGAAGATTGGATGGAGGCAGTCGATCAAACAACAGGTTGGTGAGAGATTTAATGTATTTATGATTTTGATATACTTATGCATTATCTGGAGGAGAAAAGATAAGAAAGCTGGAGGATTCCAACACCATAATCCTTGTCGTTTCAGCTTTACCATACTTTTTCTCGATGCATGTTTAAATTTCTGATTTCCCCTAAAAATAAGAATGATATATCTTTAAAGGTTTATACTTGAGAAAGTGGCCTTCAGTTCCAAGTTTCTTGTTTGGCATTGTTGTAACGTAGCTATCAGGAAGGCATTCAGTTAGTGTAATTTTGACTTTGTTTGTAGCAAGTTTCATTTAAACGTGGAAGGCATTCTTTCTGAGGCCTAGTTACGGCCATTCACTTCCTGGTTTGCATTTTAAAGCTTCTAACCATTGGTTACATCTTCCCGATATATATATAAAAAATAATAATAATTAAAATAAATAAATAAAAAGTTGTCTAATTGTGAGTTGCTGGACATCTGGATTCATTCTGTCCTTTGTTCTTTGCTGGTTGCTCAAAATCAGACTGGAGGTAGCACTTAACAACTAAACCATAGAGAATCTTCATGTTTAGTCCTGTCCTGCATCCCTACCTTTTTTGTGAGTCATTGATGTGGAGAGTCTAGACGTTGAAGGCTTGAGTAATCAGCTTGAATTGTGTGGAAACTTGTTTATTTGGCATCTCATGAATCTTCTCTACAAAGTTCGCAAGGCTTGAGAATGGAATTATACATTGGGATGCTTATGTTGTACCTTTACTATTATGTCCTTGTGCAAATTCGTAGCTTTCCTAACTTCAATGAAAAAGATGCTCAGAAGAAAGTTGCTGATTAATATAGTTTGCAGTTTTGTTCCTGTTGACAACTTTCATATGATTGCA